TTTTTTTTTAACAATTTTGAAACTGTCTATCTGACGGTGCAGGGAATTGCTCACCATTTGATACAAGTTTATATATTTTTTTTTTTTTTTTTTTTTTTTTTGTTTTCATTTGAAAGCGCCACGTGGGGATATAAAATAGCGTAAAAATGTGTCTAATGTGAAGTGGTTGTGATTGCTTATCTAACCGGTGGGCGATCATCCTATTCGTCCCTCTACTTCCTACAGACGTGATCCTACTTAAACGTAATGATCATCCAGGTGGGAGTACAGAATGCCTTGTAACTTTTGCAGGTAGAAATTTTTATACTTGGGGGGTGCGGCTAGCAGCGGTTCGATATCATGTTGTATTTTCTTAAACAGTTGGCTAGCCAAAATAATGTCTTGGTTTCCGTATAGGTCTTTTTTGCTGAACAGGAGTCGCTCCTTTCTCTTTCTAAAGAAATAATTCACACTGATGTTTAGTTTAGCAGAGGAGCAAGTTTGCGGGTCATATGTTTGTGTTTGTTTTGCGTCCCCGTTAGAATTTTCATGAAGCTCATGTTCGGCACTCCCCTTTGAATGAGGAGACCTCCCTTCGCGCGGTTCTTCACTCAGGGTTGCAGGAGGGTTATCCATTTGGGGAGTTTCGTTTGGGGTAGAGTCAACATCACAGTTCCTCCCCTCCATGTCGCTTAAACGGATGCCAAAGTGATGTTCCAAAAAAGGTTCATAATTTTCTAAATGGCTGTAGTGTTGTATCAATTCGTCCTGCGTTATGTCAGTTGGTGTGTTTGAAGACGATTGGTTAGTCTCGTCTCGGAAGGGGGTGTTGCCCGGTGGAAGAAGTAATTTAATTTTGGGTTTGTTCTGTTTATCACGGGCGTATCTCCCCATCACACATGCACATCTTCCTCTCTTTAGAGGTGTAAAGCGGTTCATAAATTTGCGGCAAATTGGCGGCAATTTATCTCCCCATTTGTTTTGCGTTGCAAACTGCACAGACTCCTCCTCTGTCTTGATGCGCAAATGCTGGTGATACGATTTGTACTTTCTCTTCACGTACGTATGTGCCGGCATGTTATACACGTAATGCAGCCACAGGGATGGAATGAACAAAATTTCCCCTTCGTATAGATCCGCTACAAGGGCAAACTTACAGAGTATTTTTTTTACAACCTTTTCCCTTTTAGTGAGTTTTTTTTTCCCCATTAAAATGTGGAACAGATTGTAAGGTGAAGAAGAATTCACGATTTGAAAATATTTTATAAACTTTGGCGGGATTAGTAAAATTTTTTTCCTACCTTTTACTTGAATTAGGAAATTGTCTGGGATGTCATAGTGCAGCCAAATGAAGATATTGGTTTGTCCTATTCTTAAAATTGAGGAGAAGAATTCAAATTCGTCATGTGGGGGGTAAATCTGTGCAGGTAAAAAAAAACTGTCTCTGATGAACTGGTTCATTTTTTTGATGTTCGAGACGTCCTTAAATTGGTTAGTGCCCAGTGATCTGTAATAATAATAAAGTTTTCCACCATCTCCTGTTTTCTTCCAATTATCATCAATGTGGTTGTCCCTTTCCTGGTTTGTAGTTTCCAAGGTGGGGTGGTGCGGATGTAAGTTGTGTTGGCCCTTCCCTGCCTTGCACAGCAATAGATATACATCGTTTCCACCTTCATCATACTGGAGGGAAAATCTGCTCTTCTTTTGATCTTCTTCCCCAATGAGTTGTATAAAATTCGCTAAAGATGATAACTTGTATCGGAAGTTTTTGTTTATGTTGTTGAGAAATTTGCAAGTACTTATGTGTATGCTTACTTTCGTGCTCCCTATATGTTCAATGACATTTTTGTTGCTGTACGTTTTTGTGCATGTCCCCATTTGATGTCCCAGGTTGGTTATGATGAGCGGTTTATTGGCTACATAATGATCATTAAAAAAAGAATCTGAAGATGGAGAATTAATATCTTCATCCCTAAGTGGAAGGCAAACTCTTTTCACTTTTTTTATATTATATTTGGTTATCAGTTTTTCAAAAAGGTTAGCTGTTTCTACCTCGTCTGGGCTGATACGTTTAATCTTCTTCTCGATGAGTTGGCAGTACTCATGGAAGTCCACCGGCATTTTCCCCGTCATATTGTTCGCAGCATTTATGCATTTTGCCACATGAATATTTGATTACATTTTATTCTAATCTGCTCGCGTTTGGACTGTCGTGCAAGGGTTTTTACACCATTTAGAGTACAACTTTGAGGTAGCCGTTTTTTTTTTTTTTGCAACTTTACATTTTTTTTT